CTACTAGAATAAAGAATAAAATCTTTGGGCAGTGTGTTTTTTGCCTGACAAGCGCGTCATGAATATAGTCAACTTTCGCTAATTCGACTAATTATAAGCTATAATTTGTTAATGTATTTACTTAAATTTTTCGCGTTAAAAACGTACAGAACTGTTTACTATGTTTCAAATACGACTTAGTCTAACTTAATATGACTTAGTCTAACTTAATATAACTTAGTCTCTATCTTCGATAGACTAAGTTATACATATGCCAGCAATTATATATATGCTTGAAATTTTACGTTTATGGGTATCGTTAAGTACTACATACATACATACATACATACGTACATACGTACATACGTACATACGTACATACGTACATACGTACATACGTACATACGTACATACGTACATACGTACATACGTACATACGTACATACGTACATACGTACATACGTACATACGTACATACATACATACATACATACATACATACTTTATTGTGTTCCTCAAAGAGGCTTTTCAACACTAATTTACATGGAATGGTGATTAAAAAACAAGGTTAAGATTACATATATAAAAATTTACTAGGAAAAATCTTCTATTATTAAAATAGTCCATTACTAAGAATACAGTCTGTCTAACATGTCTTTCTTTAATTTATTCTTAAAACTTCTCAAAGATGGCATTTGTTTCGTGTTATTGTCCAGATCATTCCATAGTTTCGCCCCTCTATAATGAAATGTTCTCTGGCCAGTGGTGGTATTATAAATCGGTATTTGGAGGAGCTCTCGGTTACGAGTGTTACATTCATGTATATTTGATCGTTTACTAAATTTATTGCACAAGTAAGGTGGGGCTAGATTGTTAATACACTTGTACATCAAAACTGTATCTCTAAAAAGTAAGTGTTCCTTAACTGGAAGCCAATTCAGTTATTGCAGTTTTTGTGAGATATGATCGAACTTCTTCCTGTTTGTCACGATCCTACATGCAAAGTTTTGTACCAGTTGTAGCTTGTTAATATTTTTGGCCGAAGTGTTCGACCAAGCAGAGGAGCAATAAAGGAGTTTATTCATTACCAATGCTGATACCAAGAGGGGTATAGTTTCTTTATCAAAACATTTGCTTACTCGGTTGATCTGTGACAATTTGGACATGCAAGAGGAGACTAATTCGGTGATATGGCAATCGTATGACATGTTGGTGTCCCTTATTAATCATAAATCCTTGGCTGAAGGAACTGGCCTGATAGTTTCACCTAGAAAATTTAGGCACATATCTGTAGGGAGATTTTGTAACTGTTGTCGTGTTCCGATAAGTAAATACTTGGTTTTCTTCGGGTTAATAAGTAGATGAAGTTCAGAGCAGCATTTTGCTACTCGGCTCAGATCTGCCTGAAGGTACTCTTTTGTGTCAGTCGCGTCATTAACACGAAATGACAAGAACATCTTTGAATCATCAACATATGAATTAAGGGAGCTGTGACGTGGGGCCAGTGGTAACTCGTTTACATAGATGCTAAACAAGAGTGGAGATAAAATAGCACCCTGTGGAACCCCGTGAGTGATGTTAAGAGATGACGAAACAGACGTTCCAATACGGACAAATTGTGATCTGCCCGTTAAGTAGCTTTCGAACCACTTCACTACCTCAGGAGATGCGCCAATGTGTCTTAGCTTGTTAAGCAATGTTGGGTGATGTACGCTATCAAATGCCTTCGATAAATCTAATAGTATAAGTGCAGTTACAGATTTCTGGTCCATAGCTTCCAATATGATATCATCAACCAAAACGTTCAAAGTTTCCGAGGAATGATATCTTCTGTTACCGCTTTGATGCGATGTCAGACATTCATTATGGAACAAAAATGTTGTAAATTGGCATGAAACGACCTTCTCGCAAATTTTTGACACAACTATAAGTAAG